CTGCTCTTTCCTCCACACGGTCAGGCTCCCAGCAGTTGGGCGGGATTGTTAAGGGGGAGGCTGGTTCTGAAGAAACAGAGGAAAAGCCCACAAGGAGGGGAAATGTGAAGAAAGGGCAGGAAGCTTAGCAAGAGGCAGCCGAGACCCCCCAGGTGTGAGCTAGAGCCAGCTGAAGCCAAGCCTCTCCCTTCAGACCTCTCTGCTTCCAGCCTTTAGGACACACCTGACCACAGAGAGACCCGCAGAGAAGTCTGGGATCTATAGGGTCTGGCCCAGCAGGTGTCTGGCCACATGGAGTCCTCCTGGTTCCCAGGAGCGTCTTCTCTTCTGTCTGGTTCTAGTTATCACTCTGTGTCAACACTGCCTCTCCCCCCTGCCCCATTGTCACCTGCACCTGTTTTCCTGCCTTGCTCAATCTCTCCACTCCCAGGCTGTGTGTTCCCAGGGGTCCCAGTCTCTTATCTCCCAGGCAGCTGTTGGCCACTGCCAGAAGACACAACATGAATTAACTCTTCCTCTCCCCTGGTCTTCACACACAAAGGACCAGCAGCCGCCCAGAGCTAGGTGCTCAAAACTTCTGGGGTGTGGCCCATTTTTGCTGGGGGTGGGGGTGGGGCTGGCTAACTTTGCCTTGCATCTCACTTATTTAAGAAAAAGAACAATTTTACTTTTTCCCACACACACACCCCTTTCCTGCCCTAGAGCTTGAACCAAAAGCCTCAAACTTGCTAAGCAAGACCTCTACCAAAGAGCTATGTCCTCAGCCCTCTTGGTTTGCTATTGTTATTGGGTTTTTCGTTGTTGTTTTGTTTTGTTGTCATTTGTTTGCTTGCTTGCTAGCTAGCTTTGGAGACAGGGTCTTATGTAGGCCTAGGCTAACCTCCACTGCTATGTCTTAGAGGGTGACCTTGAACTCTCCTGCCTCTGAATGCCGGGCTTAGAGGAATCAATCTCGAAACACACACATCTCTTCAGCTCTCTTTTTATTTATTTAGTTAGTTAGGTTTACTTTGAGACAGGACCTCGCTAAGTTTCCCACTCAGGCTTTGAACATGAAATCCTCCAGTCTCAGCTTCCTGAGCAGCTGGGGTTACAGAGCTGTGCCATCCAGCCTGGTTACGATCTGGCTTCTGTATTATCCCAGCTCTCTATGCTACCCTTGTTCTTCTACAAGCACGCTCATACACACACACACACTGACTCCACGGCTGAAAATTTTAGGGCCATCAGATAAGACCCATCCAATAATTATGAACTGAGAAGCTGGTTTGGTAGGAAAGCAACTCAGCCAGAGCTTCTGAGCCACCGCTGTCATGGCCTTGCTTCCCATGAAACAGAATCCAGAATTAACAATTGCTGAACAGATGTATATTTACCACGTATATTTACCCTCTTAAAATTCCAGTGAAGAACTTAACATTTTAATTAAGCCTGCATAGCTTTTACATAGAAATATTCTCTTTCTGTCAGGCTCTGACAAAGACAAAGGCAGCTCTAGGCTCCTCCTCCTCCTCCTCCTCCTCCTCCTCCTCCTCCTCCTCCTCCTCCTCCTCCTTCTCCTCAATGCTGGTCTAGAGTGGGGGGCAGGAATTTAGGATTGGGTGGTCTTTAAGATCCCTCGTGGGGCAGAGCCTGGGTGTTGACCTAAACTATAAAATGATCTCATGCTCTGCGAGGGGATGGTAGGCCCACTAGCTGACACATCAGTCAGCCATCAGGCCTGTGCTCTGGCCTCCTCTCCCTGCTGCTTAGCTAGAAAATGGCCTACCCAGAGGATCCTGTCCCACCCTCCCCCGTGCCCTCCAAGCCTCCATGCTCCTCACCTGCCAGCTCAGCCACAGCTGACAATGGATTCAGAGTTAATGACTGGAGGAGCAGGAAGGAACAGGACTGAAGCAGGCAAGGACACTGGCAGGGAAACGGATTGCTCTACCACTGGTGTGGAGAGTGTAGAGTAAAAGCCATTTAGTCCATTCTCAAGACATCCTTTCACCCCACAGATGGGTAAACTGAGGCCTCGGATTGTTACTTCCCCACCATTCTCTCTCCTTGTTCCTTGACAACCCTGGGTCTCACTGGACCAGAACAAACATCCTAGGCAGGACAGGGCAAAGGTGGGGTTCTAGTCTGCTCTGCCTCAACACTCCCAGGTCTGCGGCCTGTGCCCTGTCATCGTCTCACACTGGGTGGCCTGGGGCGCTCCTCCAAACCAGTGCCTCTTTTACTTCTGGGTCACACCCCTGGCCTTGCATCCTGACCACCAATTGCTCAGGCTCTGTGTCCGAGCCGGGGCTCAGATGCAAGCACAAACAGCCCCTCAGAGGTGGGATTCCAAGTCCTCAAAGAGATTCTTGTTGCCTCTACCCAGCCGCTTCCTCTTCAGCCTCTCTACTCATGGAACACCCAGCCTCCTGGACCCCAGGTCACTCACACCCACACACACACCCACACACACACACCACCCCTCCACTCTGGAACCAGAGGCTCCATCACAGCCTCATGGAAACCGCCAAGGGGGGGGGGAGAGGGCAGAATGAGGAAGAAATAGACGATCACCCAAATTCTGGGTCCTTTCATCGGGCCAAACTCTTCATTTCATATTAAAAACTCGAGACCCAGGAAGGCCACCCAACCAGCAGAAGCGAGTGGCGTGTTTGGGGGACTTCTCTACTTCCTTCTCTACTTATGGCCCCTGGACACTACCCTGGGGCCACGTGGAGCCCCCTTGTGCTAATCTTGCGCCTCGCTGTCACACTTCTGCGCCTTGCTCTCTGTTCGGCCACAGCCAGCTTCACCTCACCTGCCCCCACAATCCCCGATACTGCCCAGACCCAGCTCAGATGCCACCTCCTCCGAGTAAGCCCTCTCTGAACACTCCCCTCTGCTCCGCCCTTGCCGTCGCCCAGGCTAGGTTAGAATTACCCTTGTACACCTCCTCCAGGAAGGCAGGGCTCAGGTCTCCAAGGGCAGCACCCTGCGCCGTGCCTAGCCTGTCTCGGACGTTCAGCAAGTATTTCTGGAAAGAATTATCGTTGTATGTACACCGTCCCTGTGAACGGCCAGCGTTGATAGGCTGTCTCTTGAGTCAGCCACCTCGCTCAGCGGGCAGCTCACACTCCTGCAGGCAGAACACTGGCCCCGTTTCACAGGCACAGAGGAAATCAGCAGGTGGCTCCGTGTGTCCTGAGACACCATGACAGGCCCCTCTGTCATGGGAAGTAGCCAAGGGACCTCTGTGTACCTGAAAGACAGCCAAGGGGCACAGGGAGGCCCTAGTGGCTCTTTCTGCCCAGATGTCCCTGTGTCCCAGAGCCTGAAGATGAGTCTCCTCCAGGACCCTGCCTCATGCCCAGGCTGCTCCACTGGTTTTTGATCCCAGCATGGCCAGGTGACATGGGATGGCCTCCCTGCTGGCCACCTGCCACAGGGACACAAAGTACCTTCACACACAACCTCTCTTTGTCCCCTGCTGGTGACAGCAGAGAGGACAAGCCAAGGGCAAGGTGCTTTCTCTTGCCTGTGTGCCCTGCTTCCTTTCTCCTGGGGCTTCCTGCTGGCACCCCAACCCTGAGGCCTTAGGCCCAACAGGGGGTGTAACCTTCTCCTAACCCAGAGGAACAAAAAAGAGGGGCTTAAAGCTTTGTGAGGAAATTTGGGGAAATCATGGGGTTCTTGCTCAGGAAATCTGGGGTCCCTACAGCTAGTCTTCAGAAGAATCTATGGGGTTTTGCTCTCAAGGGCCCCTTAATCAAGACCCATTGAAGCCAGTTGTGGTGGTGTACACCTTCGATCCCAGCACTCTGGAGGCAGAGGCAGGTGGAGCTTTGTGATTTGAAGGTCAGCCTGGTCTACAGAGTGAGTTCCAGGACAGCCAGGGTGACACGGTGGAACTCTATCTTGAACAAAACAAAACAAAAAAACAACAAGAAAAAGTCATTTCAAGCTGGGAGCTGGCTTGTTGTCCCAGCATTCAGGAGGCTGAGGCAGAAGAATTGCTGTGAGTTTCAGATGTGTATCTAGAAGGCAGCTGAAGACTCATTAGAGTCTTCATAGTGAGAGTCCACCTCAAAAGCAAATGAAACAGAAGGACTCATTGGAAGGCTAGGTTCTCTTCCTCCCTTTTCTTCCCAGGTTCTTGACCCAGATACTGGGGCTACCAAATTTGTCATCTCTTCCTCTACTCTTGCTCCCTCCTGGGAAGGGGACGGGGGCTCATCCCCCATGTATCAGACTATCACTGACAGCAGCTTGCTCGATTCCTAAGAGGATCTGAACGCTTCTCCTGTTTCACAGATGAAGATACCGAGGTTCAGAGGAGACCCAAGTACCGGAGGCCCTGGGTCCAGAGTGTGAGCTGCTGGCATTTGAACTTTGGTCCTTTTTGTTGCAAATCTGTTCTCTTGGGATTCCCCTCTCCAACCTCTACACCCCATGTCCCTCTAGGTGAGCCCACAGCCCAACACCCTGCTGTCCTCAACCGCCTGGCACTAGGGTGTCTCCAGAGCATGAAGAACATATGGCAGCAGCTGTGGCTTTATCCTGAGCTGTCACTGGGGGCAGCATCCTGGACTGCCATCGCTGTCTAAGTTTTCCTGTCTTGTTTGAGCCAGGATCACACCATAGCCTGGGATGGCCTCGAATGCTATGTAACTGAGGCTGGCCTGAAGCTGCTATTCATTCTTTCTCCACTGCCCAGGTACTAGGATCACAGGCATGTGCCAGCACCTAATGGAGTCATTATCTGTTTGGTTGGATTGCTCTGGGGTCTCCCCTCCATTGGTGGAGATTCTGAGAAGAAGTAGCCAGAGCACAGGATTTTGCATAGCCGTGCAGGGCAGGCGGACAATAAGAGCTTGTTGGCCTCTGGTTTGGGTGGGGATGGTTGGGGAGGGTGGGGTGGACAAGATGAAGAAATGACACAGTAACCCACAGGAAACTTCATCAGAGACCCACAGAAGTAACACAGTGAAGAGAGGAAAAACTTCTCAGGTTTGGACGAGTAAAGGCAACAATATGATTCCCATCATTTATTTAAAAACCGCTCTCGAGTTACTATCGAATTCTCACAAAGCACAGCACTGAGTCGTTAGCTCTGTCAACTCTGTTAGATGTCTTACAGGATGAAAACAGAGAACTCTTCACGCCGATGTTGGTTCCTGCTTGTCTGTGGTTCCTGGAACATAGTCGTCTGTTGACAACTTTTCTGAAATTAGAAAGTAGATTTCCAGGGAAGAGTTTTCGTGAAATTCATTTATCTTGAGATCGGCCAGGTTGCGGGGAGGGCTCCAGGGCTTCAAACCAGCTCGAAGCTTTGGATGTGCAAAGCAAAGGGTGAAAGATTAAAAACAACAATGACAACACATCTTGGGATTGTTGTCCATCTAAGTATGTACATCTATCCGTGTTATTTTTTTATGACACATGGCTACACACGTATACACATATATAAGTTTCTGCTAGTGAGGAGTATTTGTGTTATTTTTATTTTTGTCCCCAATACACTGAACCTACCCCCAACTGTTACAACTTGAATGCTATCTCTCCGACATGTACTGAAGAGCATGGCATTTTTTCTCCTTATCAAAGGTGCACCCCAAATACACCTCCCTTAAGTGGGAAAAGTGGCCAGCTGGCAGCTTCCAGCTGTTCGGGGAGATGGCAGATGAACATTTCCAATAGAGAGGCGCCATGCCTTATCAGCTCAGGAGAAGAAAATTGTCTGGAACAGCACAGCCTGGGCAAGAGCGCAAGGCAGAGAGGAGGGGACAGTCTGCCCGAGATGTCAATGCAGAGTCAATGTTCTCAGAGGCCCTGCCCCCCCACAGCAGCCCCCTGCCTCTGCAGGAGCACTCCAGTGTGTCTTCCCTGGGAGACAGCCCTGTGCCCACGGAGGATCTGCTCCTCCACACCAGGTGGTGTGCAGGCCCAGGAAAGAGCCCAGCTTCAACATTTTGTTTTGAATGGAGAAATGTGAATCAACGGACAGCCTCCTTACATTCCGGGAAAGAAAGCCCGGCATTGTCAGGAGAGGTTCTCGTATGACGATGATTCCCCAGATCTGCGCAGGCCAAGGGCTAGAAGGTGGGGCTGGAGTGGAGAGCACCTCTTTGCTTCAGCCTTCTGGCCACTGCGCACAATGAGGTGTAAGACAACTCTGTTTGTATAATGTAAACTGCATACAAAATAGAGAATCTGTTAATAGAGAAAACAGGTAAAATTAAGTTTAGAGGTATGTTGGTATGTTTTACTTAACATATCCAGAATTTTGTTTTGGTGAGGGTGGGGGAACCAATACATAACTAATGAGTATATATATATATATATGTTGTGTGTGAAGTCTCCAAACCTCATATGCACAGAAGTCTTGGGGCCAGGACCACAGTTCAGTGGTAGAGCACATTGCCTAGCATATGAGAGGTCTTGGGTTCAATTCTAGGCATCCCCCTGAAAAATGAACAAATGTGACCAAACTATATTCTCTTGGTATATCTCAGCATATCCTTTACTCCTTTCCCAACGCCAACAACAACAAGGCTCTGGTGGTGCCCACCTTTAATCCCAGAACTCAGGGAGGAAGAGGCAGGTGGCTCTCCATGAGTTCGAGGCCAGCCTGGTCTACAAATCGAGTCCAGGACAGCCAAGGGGCTACACAGAGAAACCCTGTCTCAAAACAAAAACAAAAACAAAAACAAAAAAAACACAAAAAAACAAACCACAAAACAAAGCAACAACAACAACAAAAACCTCACAGGGTTCAGGGCTGCCACATTAGACAGCACCAATCTAGGACTTTCCTCATAACCCACAACTCCTCCTTGATGAAGTTATTTGGCCTCCTCTGATCTGTTTGCCTTTGCCAGACTACGAGAGCAGGTTGTGCTTTGGGCCTGGGCGACCATCTGTCTTTCCTCTTTGGCTGTAAGAAAGGTCAGAGCCTCAGGGCTTCAGAAGGCGCTGCCATTCTGCTGGCTGCATGACCTGGAAGGAGCCACTTCCTCTCCCTGAGGAGGTAGTACCATTCCCTGTCAAGGGAGGCTTTCCATTAGACTCACTACCTTCAAGCCGTGAATCTGGGTTCCAGAAGGACTCCCATGCTGAACCTGAGTTTGTAAACCACGAAGAAAGGAGTTGCCATGTTGAGAGAAGGGGCCTGGACATTTTGTTTGTTAGTTTTTCCACAGGGTTTCTCTGAGTAACCCTGGCTGCCCTAGACTTGCTTTGTAGACCAGGCTGGCCTCGAACTCACAGAGATCCACCTGCCTCTGCCTCCAAGTGCTGGGATCAAAGGCATGCACCACCACATCAGCCCCCAGCTCCTGTTCTTTAAGCAACTCCCAGGACAGACCCGGAGAGTAAGTACCCACCCACACATTCTAGACTCCAACCAGCCAGCCTGCCTGCCTTCCCCTCAACGCGCTCTCACACATCCCAGGCTGACCTCAGACTCTCCCTGTAGCCGGTGATAACCTTGGACTCCTGGTCCTGGTGGTCCTCTGAGGTTCTGGGACTGCTGCTCTGTCATCATACCGAGTTAATGCAGCGCCAGGGGTCGAAGCCAGAGCTCCATACATGCCAAGCAAGCATATTCTGAACGAGCAGAAGCAAGCACGGCCCCGGCAGAGCGCCAAGCCATCTGAAGCATGGGTATGAGGGTACGGGAACCAATTCCCACGTCACAGTTTCTTCTGAAGGGAAAGGAAAGGCGAGGACCAGGAAATGGCTTCAGTCTTGCTGTTAATATTTAAATTTTTGACTGAAAGAGACCTGAAGGGAAGACAGCCAGATGTTGTCATTTGTTTAAACTTAGTAGCAGGGGTATGTGGCTACCGGATGAGTCCTCTGGACTTTGCTCTAGATGTGAGATACTTCACCACTTAAATGTATTTAAAACTTTAAGGAGGACAAATAAAAACAATGAGATCCCACTTCAGGCATGGGATTTTTCTGGCCAAGTCTGTAATGCTCACCCACTGTCCGAGCCTTCTCATTCTGAGACAAGAGCTCCTATAAAACAGACAGTCTAAAAGTGCCTACGTAGGCATGGATGACCTTGAACTTCTGATTCCCGTACCTCTACCTCTGCAGTGCTGGGCTCAAAGGCAATGCACCACTGGACTGACTCATCACAGATTGATCTGGTGCTTGGGGTCGAACCCGAAGCATGCCAGGCATCACTTACCAGCTGAGTCACATTTAGCCCTTTAAGCGTGTGTTTTCCCTTCAGCCCGAGCCCTATCTCTCCAAGTCACTTCTTCCTCATACTACCTTGGAGGGCTGGGCTGGGCAGGAGGCAGGTGTGAGATCTCAGGAGGACAGACACTCACCAGGCTCCGCTGGGCTACTTTACCTGGCAAACAGGACCTGTCTTTTTGTCATTGGGAGAGTTTGGCCCCAATCAGCGTAGGTTGGTTAAATGGTGACTTGTCTCTGTGACAAGGAACGCGCCTCCAGCTCGGACTGAGGAGTTCAGTGGCGCCAGGCTAAGCTGTGGGCACAGATGGCATTTCTTTCTCTTCTCTTTACTTTTTTCTTGTTTGTTTTTGGTGGTATGCAGGCGTGTGCATCCGTGTCTGTGTCTGTATCCGTGTGTGTGTGTGTGTGTGTGTGTGTGTGCCCATCTTCACACGGGTAGAGACTAAAGGAAGGTGCTTCCTACCTGCTCTATCACTCTCAGCTCTTAGTTCATTCCCTTGAGATAGAGTCCCTCACTGAACACAACACTACAGGGTTCTGCTGCTGTTTTGTTTTGTTTTATTAAACGTGGGCTCCCGGGGTTTCTAACCCAGGCCTTCAGCACTTTTTCCCACGGAGCCATCTCACCAGTCCCTTTCCTTTATTTGAAACAGCCTCACCAAGTAGCTCCTGCTACTCTGGAGCTCACTGTGTAGCACAGGCTAGCCCTGAGGTTGGTGATTCTCGAGCCTCAGTACGCCCCCCCCCCCCACTCGAGTGCTGGGCTAACAGAGACGTGAGGCGCCAGGCCCAGCATTTCTGCCCTCTGTTCCTTCCCGGATGGCTCCCCTTCATACGCCTTCCTAGCCAGATGAGTAAGAGCGAGGAAGACCGACCACTTAATGAGAGAGCACAACCACCGGAGGCCTTTCATCGTGTGATTTCTTAACCGAGAGTGGCTATGCTCATTTTACAGGAGGCACCACTGAGGCAGAGGGTGGTGGGGTCACTTGTGAGTCATTCAGGACTGGCTGAACGTGGCTGAGCCAGACACTGAGCAGGCTAGGGCAGGGCCAGGGGCTTTCCCTGACACTGAGAGAAGTTCTGGTGTGTGTGTGTGTGCGTGTGTGATGACACACGTGTGGAGGTCAGTTCTCTCCTTCCACCTTTACATGGATTCAGGGCATTAAACTCAGGTCATCAGGCTTGCATGGTAAACATTTTACCTGCTGAACCATCTCTCTCTAGTCCCACTCCTGTTTTGTTTTGTTTTTTTTTTAAAAAAAAAAAAACAAGACCTCGAGCTGCCGAGGCTGTCCTGGAACTCCCTGTAGCCGAGAATGACCCTGATCTAACTTTTTGATCCTCCCGAGTCCAGCGCCTCAGTGCTGAGACTGCAAGTGTGTGTGACCGGCTGTGTGAATTGAACCCAGGGCCCCACGCACTCCAGCTAGCGGACTGAGTTCCCCCCTCTCCCACCTCCTCTTCCTTCCCTCTCCTCTTTTTCTTTCTCTTCTCTTTTTAGCTCCATTTTAATTTGTTTGGGGTTGGGGGTGGCGCGTGTGTGTCGCAGAGCATCCGTGGGGGTCGGAGGGCATCTTTTAGGACTTGGTTCTCTCCTTCCGCCACGTTGGGTTCAAACTCAGTCCAAGGATCCACCTCAAACCATTAGGCTCTGATTCGGGAAACCTTTACTTGCTGAGCCAGCGCACCAGCCCCTCTTTTTTCCTCTCTCTCTTTCCTTCTCTCTCTCTCTTTCCTCACCCCGATACATCTCAGCCTGAGGTCAAACTTGAGAACCTCCTGCCTTGGCCTCGCCTCTTCAATGTTGAGATTACAGGTGTATGCTACCCTAACTAGGCACAGAACCCTAACCCTGACCTTAACCCTAACCCTAACCCTAACCCTAACCCTAGCCACCTGGGGAGTAAGCCGCCCATCTGGATCCTGGGAGGGTTTTGCATGCTCCAAGAACAAACGGCAGTATCAGCCCGGATGGCTCTTATCAAGCTGCATGTCTCTGGTATCGACCAGGTGCCTACCCGCCCAGCCTCAGCTGGTGCCAACATTATAATGAGATGAAAGGAAGGAAGAGGCTGCCATACCAGGTGGGCTGAGGTGAGGAAGGTGCTGATCCTATCCACCTCCCAGACAGTGGGCACCTGGGAAATGCTGGGAAAATGCTTCTGCTCAAAGATAACACACTCATCAGCCAGGCCTGGGCCACCCCTGTTCCTGCAGAGAACTAGCGGTGACTCGTTTTCTTTCTTGTTTCCTTGACAATGATACTACCGTCCTCTGCGGGTCTTGTGAGGGAGCAATGACTTAATGTGTGTGAAAGAGCCTCAGGTGGGGCCTGGCACTCAGCGGGCACTCGGCAGCCCCGCCCGTGGCTCTCTGATGGCCTCAGAGTAGCAGGTGACCCAGGATTCCCCATGAGAGACAGGGGGTGCTCACTGTGGGGCCCCTCGATGCCATGTTAGGGTAATGATGTCTCTGTTGAAGAATTTTCAAAGGCCGGAGGGAGGTGGATTCAGGGCCACGGGGAGGTTGGCTGAACCGAGCGAGGACCGCTGCACACAGCAGGCCACAGTCTGGCTCTGCTGTCCTCCAAGCTGATTTGGTTGCCATGTAAATCAGCACTTGGGGTAGGCACACTCTGGTCAAAGAAACAGGAATTGAGTCTTCGCTCCATTCGCCCTCACCCCCACACCCTCATGACCTTTAACCTGCTCCAAGTGTGTGTTAAGGCCTGAGTGAGATACACTGGGTTTTGCCCCAGATGTGTTCACAGCAAGGGATACCAGCTCCCACATACCCGGAGCCACCTGTCCAACGGTGGAGACACAAGGTCCATCACACTGATGACTGTGGAGCCTCCTGCTGCCGATGACCCAGTCCCTCCCTCTCTGAGGGAAAGGAAAAAATCTCTGCTGGTTTCCAGGGCCTAAGGCTAACCACTATCCTTTCATGGGTTCAGCCAGCTCCGGGAGGCGGCCATCACGCCTTCCTGCTGAGATTGTGTTTCAGGCACACAAGGTTTGCTTCTAGGGTCCTTGGGGCTCTGTCTCACAGGTGGGATGTTCCTTCCTGGGAGGCTTCTAGTTTCCCTGCCTTCCTCCCATGCCTGTTTTCTCCAGGGTACCCAATGGGTGACTCTGCCACCTCCGGGACACTGGACTGGAGCCACCTTTTATAGAACCGGTTTGAAATCAAACAATGCCATGGCACACAAGCCAGCCGAGCCAGAGGCGTCCATGGGCCAAGAGGGGCAAAGGCTGAGGGACCGGGGAGGACCATGGTATGTATCCAGGGAGACCATCCTTGCCTAACAGGGAGCTGTGTGGGCATCTTTCCCTGCCCCGAAGGTAAAAGGGACCCAATGAGGGTCTAGATGGAGTGGAAACAGAACCCGCTGAACGTATGTGTTGGGGCGAGACAGTCTAGATGAGAATGGCCACCTTCAACCCTGGGTATCCTCTTCCCCAGAGGGAACTGGGGGTGGGGTGGGGGGCGTTGGCCATCTGGAGGGTGTGGCTGTAGGTGGAAACTGAGTAGCACTGCAGAAATCAATCTGCCAAACACAGGCCCCTGCTGGAGCTCAGTGGGTAGAGTGCTTGCCTAGCACGCATGAAGCCCCGAGTTTGACTCCCAGCACTGCAAAAACTGGGCCTTAGTGACTCACAGCTGAAATCCAAGTACTCCAGCGGTAGAAGCAGGGGTGGGGGGGTATGTGGGGGGGGGCAGTGGAATGTCAGGATAAGGTTCCACGACCTTTGACTACATAGTGAGTTCAAGGCCACCCTGAGAATTTTTGTTGTTTTGGCCTTTTTTTGTTTGTTTGTTTTTCAAGACAGGGTTTCTCTGTGTAGCTCTGGCTATCCTGAACTTGCTCTGTAGATCAAGCTGGCCTCAAACTCAATAGAGATCCGCCTGCCTCTGCCTCTCAAATGCTGGGATTAAAGGTGTGCACCACCACCATGCTCAGGTTTAGATAAAAGAAAATAGAAAGGCAGCAACCTATCTTCTTGCCGTCCCAGACCCTGTAAGAACAGGGCCTGGGGGACAAAGTCTGGTGGCAGGAGTGAGCTGGGCAGCAAGGAGCTGTGGACTTTTGAATTTGTCTAGAATTGGCCCTAGCTGTGTAGCTAAGGAGCTGGGGGTCCTCACCACCATGAAATCCTGGGGTAGGGAGGGATGGGGACCCTAGTGAGAGTTTGGGAAGCTGTTTGGTCTAGGGAACCTTCTGGATATACACGTAAAGAGGAAGCCGGCTTGGCCTTTCTGCTCCCTGCAGCCTGGTTTCCCTTTTGCCTGGCACACGTGCAGACAGACTTCAGACTCACTGACCTCAGAAAGTCCCGCCCCTCCAGCCTTGTGCTTCTGACCATTTATTTCCTGCAGAAGGCTCAGGGTTTTGCCCGCTCTGTATTGAGCAGAGGCGGCTCCACCCAGGGGCCCACCCAGAGGCCAGCAGGATACTTTTGTCCATATCCCAGTCCCCTCCTAGTGCAAGGAGTGCACTTGACCCCTGGCATGCCTTCCTTCTGTGTCTGGAGTCAT